GGGGCGGGAGCCAAGCGCTGGGCCACAGCACTTCTGTCTGCCCTGCCCCCCACACCCCTGGCCCCGGACAGGCGGGGCGCACAGCGGGCGTTCCGTGTTTGTTGATTGACTGCATGAGGCCGAGCGGCTACACTTCAGGCAGCCCGGATTCCGGGGGCAGGGAGGGGAGTCTCACCTGGTCTGGGGCGGAAATGCGCCCTGTGAGGAGAGGGTCGCAGTCGCTGTAGAAGACGAACATGACGATGCCACAGCAGGCAGCGCTGGTCACAATCAGGAACAGCCCCAGCTGGTTGATGAGAACGGCCCTGGGGGAGGGGCGGCTCAGCCGGGGAGGGCACAGCGTGCCCGGACGCGTGGCCTCGGCCCCCGACACTCACAGCTTGGCCTTCCGCTCTGTGCTGCAGGACACGTAGCGCTGCACCTGTGCCTGGTTCACACCGTACATCGATAGCCACACTAACGTGCCGCCCACCACGAAGGTCCAGAAAGTGTAGCGGCTCCGAGGATCAGGGTCAAAGCTGCCAGGCGGCAACATGAGTCGGCCATGAGAGGATGCGACACTGATTACCTTTCTAGGGGTCCCAGATAGCTATTCAAGACTTTAAGGGACTTTTGGATTGGGTTTTGAAGGGTGAGTAGGAGTTTAGCCGTTTTTTTTTTTTTCATGGAATTAAAAACCATTTTTTCTCTGCTCAGCCAGGAGCTCAGAGAGGCTACGCCATCTCCTTTGCCCTATGCCCCTGTCCACCTTTTTGTGGGTGCTGGGGATGGGACCCAAGGCCTTCACCCTGAGCTGCATCCTCAGCCCTTTTGTTTTTTGAGGCAGGGTCTCCCTGAGTGGATACATTTCACCCTCCCGCCTCAGCCCTCCGGGGAGCTGGGATGACATAGCCGCACCTAGCACCCGTCCCTCCCTCCGAATTTCCTCACTCCAGCAGGTTGATCCGGGAGCGGTTCTGGGCCAGCCTGAGCACCTGCTGGGGCCCGCCCAGGAGCACAGCTCCGCGGGCTAGGATGGCCCAGAATCCGCTCAGCATCACCACCACCTGGAAGGCGTCGGTCCACACCACGGCCTTCATGCCGCCCTGCGGGAGACAGGCCACGCGTCTGTCCGGGACAGCGCAGCGGGCGGGCGCCGGACCCACCCTGCGGCCGGTGCTGATGAGGACAAACGCCCTTCTCAGCCTCTGTTTCCCCACCTGTGCAGTGGGGTCAGTAGGACCTGCCCTCTCTGCTGTGAGGATGCAATAAGTTAGTAAGTGACAGAGGGTCGCCGTGAGACTTATGACCACTCTCGGTCCTTCTGTCCTTCCTGCCCTTCGGGATGTCCTACCGCAGCCTCCTCAGGGCGGCCCAGGGAGCTTTTCTTTGGAAGAGCCCCGCCCCTCCCAAGCTACCAAGGTTGGCTCCGCCCCCAGATGCGGACTAGCCAATTAGAACGCCCCAGCCAGAAACTGCCCTGGGACTCGGATTAGGGCGGCCTCGAGGGAACTTGGGACTTCTGCCAACCCCAGGTTGGAGCCAGCTCTTTCTGTAGCGGGAAATCGGCCCGGAGAGTGGGAGAGGGACGGGAGAAGCTGTGGGAGCCCCTGGATCCAGCCCAACCTGAAGCGAGATCCTCCCTGGATCTCAGCACCGAGCTTTTCAGACCCCTTGTATTACAAAGACAGAATCCGAGGCCCAGCTAGGACAGGGTAGGAGGGCAGAGGCGGGGTAGGGAGTGCGCGGGCGGCCCAGAGTTCCCCCGTGGGAGGCCCGCGGGCATGGAGCTCACTACAGTCGTGTAGAAGGTGCAAATGATTCCGGTGGACAGGAGCGACGCCCAGATGTCCAAACCGGTCACTGCGAAAGCGGAAGCTCCATGAGGCCACCCCTGCTGTGGGCCCCCTCTCGTTCCCCTCCTGGGCCCCAGGCGGATCTCCCACCACCGCACCTTGGTTCAAGATGAGCGCAGGCGCGTAGATCACGATGCCGGTGTAGAGCACCTGCGGGGTGAGAGGGCGGGGCCAGAAGGAAG